TAGATTTATTGCAGTCCCCTAACACAAATGACTCAGAAACACAAGGATAATATTGTACCAGACTGAAACACAAACTAATGAGAAAACAACATCTATTCCATTAGAGAAAAAAAAGAAAAATACAAAACAAAACCTGAGCTTCAAAAATTACCTAAGCCCAACTGAATAAAAACAGTTGCAAGTTGTGATGGTATCCATCATGGCTGGATATTTTTTGTAAGCAGCAGCTTACTGGAAATTACTCTCTCAGACTAGAAGCTGAGAAATCGTTCCCTTGGCCATACCACACATTGAATTATTTTTTTCCCGGTTTCATTTGAAAACTGCACTGAAGGTCTGAGGCCGGCAGGGACCTGCCGAGATCACCTCGTGCGACCCCCTGCTGCAGCAGGGCCACCAGCACAGGTTGCTCAGGGCCATGTCCAGTCGGGTTGTGAGTGTCTCCACAGAGGGAGACTCAACCTCTCAGTCAACCTGTTCCAGTGCTTGACCATCCTTAGAGTAGGAAGGTGTTTTCCTGTGTTTAAATGGGCTTTCATGTACTTGTGTGTGCACCCATCACAGCTTCCCCTGGGTGCACTCTGTCCCATTGCTCGGGTTAGTGATGAAGATGTTAAACAGCCCTGGTCCCACCACCAACCCCTTGGGATGCACTACTACAACCCTCTGTGCCCAGAAGTTCTGCCAGTTTTCAGGAAAAGAATGTCAAGTTTAATTAAAAGGTGTTTTACGTACTACTAAGTTGTTTTGCCCCCCTTAACCACACCAATTTCTAGGTTTTTATTCAGAAAGCAAAAATAAAGGAATGTTTTTGAGATTAAGGTCTTCCACTGTGACTCTGGAGATGGTGTTGAGAGCCCAGCTCTCCCATGGACTTCATGCTGGTTGGGACACGTAGGATCCACCACAGAAGACTGACCTCGGCTAAGCCAAGCGGTTGCGCTCAACCTTTCTGGGCTCCATTTACCTTTTCTACCTCTACCTCTTCTACCACCAAAACGTTACAAGAGCACGGCCTCAAAAGCAGCAGTAAGCAAAGCTTTTCTCCTTAGCTCACACGCACATGTCACATTAGCATGGGTACGGTCTCAGCTGTAGACCTTGAACTTTTCTATGTTTTCACTGGGCCAATTTCTGTTATATTGACATAATAGGCACACACACATAAAAAGAAACATAGCTTTTATGCATGAAGTTCTAATAGCTGTTTCTCTGGAGCAGATTTGTTCACGCGGGTGGAATGCCCATTCTGGAATTTCAATACAAAGCGGATGCCACAGAGCATAGTTTTCTGCACAGGAATCTCTGAACAAGCATTAATCACTGCTGGATCATCTCTTCCTTTAGGCTGTGGATTTGGCACTTCCTGTGGTCACACCGTGCTTTTAGCTTTCCCCATGATTCTAACTCTTGAGACTGGGATAGGATACTTTGAATCATTTCTCAGCACATCAGAATAGAGAGAAAACTCATTAAATGGTTGGTCCTGATGTTTTTGACTACAGCTTCCTCACTACAAAGAAAAAATAAAGGATTTTATCCGTTTAAGATAAACGAGTTAGGCTAGTATATCCAATCCTAAATAAAAATTATTCTAGCATTTATATTACAAAAATAAAAT